AGGCATTGCTACAATTAGTGAGCACGTATTCCAATGAGGAATGATTATAGACATAATACAACCAATGAGAGTAGTATAAGTAGTTTTATAGACTATTGTATTACGCATATACTTATTCCATATACATCTTATGTTCATATTCACATTATACATACATTTGACTGCTGGTGCTAAAAATTGCTGTGCGGCCGCTCGGCTGTGTCAGTGCTGGCTGTGTCAGTGTCTGACACTCTGGTGTCAGTGGTGCAGCGGGGAGCTGGCGGCAGCTCTGTCCGAATGCAGTCAGCTGACACAGCTCTGTCCGACAGGGCCGGAGGTGACGGAGCCGAGGTGGCCGAGACGGTCCCCGTGGAGCGGGCTGTCAGTGTCGCTCCAGGGGGTGGCTGCCGACACCATCAGTCACCTGGCTGACCTGGGACGGACGGTCACACTACTGGAGATATACGGTGAGCAGCGGCAGCACGGACAGGCCGCTGATATACGAGCTCAGCGAATGGCGGACATCGAGTAACGGTGTGCCGGTGTCGCACCTCATGGAGACAGAAGTGATACATAGCCAATGTGCTTTGCGAAATAATGAAGCCAATTGAGCTCCAAAATGGAGGACTGTTCACTCAGTGACATATTCGTTCAGAGTTAGTTGATCATACTCATAACAATTGTGTTGCACTGTTCAATGAAGTTCAATGCATTTGCTTAACTAATTGCATATATCATATAATAGCACTGTCTTACCATTGTCTACTGTGTCAATAAAACCATGTGAGTTATTAGGTGTTTTTCGTTTTGTCATATATCGACATGTATTACAGCCAACTGATCCTGTCTGTATATGTGTCTGTGTGTTTTCCAGATTTTACTGATCACACGGCCGGCAGCCTGAAGCCCCTCACCAGGTGCACTGGGCTGGAGCGCCTATCAGTCACCGCCGCCGACCTCCCGCTACTGAGGGGGCAGCTGCCGTGGGGCCTCATACTCCTCAATGTCAGAGGTGATATAACGCAGATTACACATGTTGGTAATGCCGGTATATACAATGGACAGCGGGGACGGCAAATGGACGAACTGATCAGCCTCAACTAGCAATTTCCACCATTGATCGTGTACATGGGAGGGGGAGGGCAATGCTTGCACTTGCATAGGGTGCACATGCTTGTGGCATATGCATGGAATATTAGTGCAACGACGCGGGGTGATTGAAAAGTCAAGGTACTAGTAATAGTTGCAATGTCACAAGCAGCAAATTTCCAAACAAACGTATTAACCCTCGCCCTGGCAGGGCATTTTTCATAACACGGCCTGGCAGGGGGGGGGGGGTCGATGCGACCCCCCCTCGCGATTGGCTCCTATGGCACCTAGAAACACCAAATTTGGTAGGTAGGTGGGCCCCCTGGAGTTCTCGCCCCTGTGCAAATTTGGTTGCTCTAGGTCAATATTTAGGGGGGCTTTGGGGGGTATAAATGTAAAAATTTCGCTAAAAACAGGTCAAAAGTTTTTCGCTTATTACTTTTGATCTAATTAAGATAGAGCAAAAAGAAAAGCACCAGTGAACTCAGCACGTCAAGGCGCGTCGAATGATATACTTTTTAGCTTGCTTAACCCTCGCCCGCACATGCCATTTTCCCATCCTAGAACGCACATGGGGGGGTGGTTGCCACCCCCCCCCCCCGCGCCATTTCGTTCCTGTTGGAGATAGAGCTTAGCAGTAAAGACCAAAAAGATTCTTTGGGAAGAGACGAATCCAATGATACCCAGTTTTACCTTCTCAGGTCAGTCATTGACCTTCCAGGTCAGGTCAAACTAAAAAATGTTGCTGTTTTGGGTCACCGTTGGATATCAAGTGCGCTGCTTATCAAATACCGATGACGATGCTGTTTTCTGGTGTCAAGCCAGCTAGAACCTCTTTGTCACACTATCCGACCAGAATTTTGCTGCTGAGGTCATTTCAGGTCAAGTTAGGTCAAGGTCAATTATATGCGTTTGTATGTCTGTGTGTGTCTGTGTGTATACTGATGTGTGCACCGATTGTTTTTGGGTCCATATCACATGAAATCATGATCTGAGAAGCTTTTACCAAAAATGCAGTCAAGAAAACTTCACAAAAAGTAAATTCAGCTTGCCTAAAACGCAATTATCTTAGATGACCTAGGTTGACCTTGACCCTGACCTTGACCCCTGTACATCGTCGAACAACATGTCTCATGATAGGTGGGAGGTAAGGCTGGCAAAAAAGACCGAAATCAGGGTGTCAAAAGCTCACAAGGCCCATGGCAAACGCAAGATGTTGAGAATTGGCCATTTGGGTCATGACATGACCTGAAAAACAAGGTCATATCTCCGAAACCAAAAATCACAGAAACTTGAAATTTTCAGTGGACATCAAGAAAGGATAGACGAGCAGCTATACGAAAAATCAGCCTTCTAGCTCAAAAAATGTTGAGTGCAGAGCAGAAAGACTGCCTGGGGGGGGGGGGTGGCAACCACCCCCCCCCATGTGCGGGCGAGGGTTAAGTGTACTTAAAGTTTTTCTTAAATTTTAAGTAAACTTAAATTAATAAATTAAGTTCAAGTTAACCAAATTGCATCATATCGCATATCAATCGATTCGGCTGATGACCAGGAACACAATGATACCATTTTTTAAGCTCTAGCGTCATTATGTGCCAAGTTATTGGCAAAAACGTCATTTGACCTCAGTTGACCTCATTTGACCTGACCCATGGATAAGTACACCAAACAAAGAAGCACCAAGTGACCTGCTGTTAAGTAGGGTAGACCGGGGCAAGTCGCCCCGCCGAGGTAAAACGCCTCACCGATGTTTCTCGGAACTGGCAAGGTTCTGGGGAAACATCCTCTCTTCTATAAAACGTGCACTATACGATCATTATATGAGCAGACTGGAAATAAATTGTGATGACTCTTTAGGGAGATGTAGCCAAAAATGTGTTTTTGGAGTGATTTTTATGTTTTGTTGTCAGATTATGCATCATGGCGTTCTTTTATCGTCCACATTAGGTTAACGACTTTTATGTATTTTGAACACCTATTGTCTAACGCTTATAATGCCGGGTTGGTTCGTGTTGAATTATGTCTTCCTGGAGTGCAAGGCGTTGTTCTCTGACCGAACTACGTGATGGGGTAAAACGCCCCAGTAGGTCGCGGGGCAAAAAGCCCCATGGGGCGTTTTACCTCATGTGTTGTTCGGACTACCCACTTCCTAATGTTCGGTAGCTGGCGAACGGTATGTTTCTATGCATTTATATGTACTTTTCTCAGCAACTGGATGGCAAAGGAAGTATTTTGTTAACATTTGCATTGCAATAATTTATTATTTGGCCTTATGAGGCAGGTGAAAAACCTGCTCATACAATAGTGTCGTAGCTGAACACCTGATAGGATGGAAGGTGCTAACTTCAGTGCCATGCCTCCCAAGGTCTAACGGACCTTTCATATAAGATTTAGTCAACTAGCATGTTTAATCTTTAATCTAGAGTATGGGGCTTCTTGCCCCAGGCCGTGGGGCGTTTTGCCCTGGGGTTGGGGCAAAACGCCCTATTTGCAGTTGCTTCACAAACCACTTCCTAGCTGGGAGTCCGATCATAAGTGAATGAATTTGAGGGGTGGATTTTAAAGTAAAATGTCCAAAGAACGCATTGAGCACAAATTTGGCCTTCCAGGTTATGTGGGACAAAAGTTATGTAGCAAAATAAATTATCTGGGGCGTCTTGCCCCAGGCTACCCTACCGTGTTTTCAAAGCACAAAAGTGATAGAACGAAGCGGATATCTCCAGCATTTTCCGAATTTAGTATTTTCTCATAGGCTTAACATTACGACGTAATGACCTCTAACTGACCTCAGGTCAGTGACCTCAAAAAAGCCGGACTATATGCTATACAACTCGGTGAACTTAGCACATCCTGAAAGTTTGAAGGAAATCAGTCGAAAACTGTGAGTTGGACAGGTGCAAGAAGAAAATTGAAATTTGACCATGACCTTGTACCGGTTTTTCTGACCTGGTGACCTGACCCAAGGTCACCCGGACCTGAAATTTTCAGGTCATATGTAAAAAAGTTGCCCCATAGGCTGTGCCAAATTTGGCGGCGCTGCGCGCCGCCGTTTTTACGCTATCTTCGAAAAACCTTAGGGGGGGGGGTCGCATCGACCCCCCCCCCCTGCCAGGGCGAGGGTTAAGTATCGACGACTGACACTGACTGACTATATAGATAGCTCGCTGACGACGAGTCTGAGCAGACTGACGAGACTGACTGGCCGCGGCCCTGGCGCGGCGGTTATACAGAGTATAGGTGGCGCCACGATCGAAGGCGGCCAGCACGGGAATGCATGGGCATTGCTACAATTAGTGAGCTGTTATTTCCAATGAGGGATGATTCACCCGTTCCATGCTTCTATCCTCAGGATACTGAAATCCTTCTCCTCCACGCCGCAACCCCCCTCCGGGCTGGACAGGCAACTTTATCTCATGCGGGCTGCTCCCTTGGAGCGGCACCGCTGCTCCCGAGGGAGCGCACCCCGTAGCCGGGTGCAGTGAGTGCCTCGGGGCTGGGTGGCCTGTCTACGGACGGGCTCAGCCCCGGCGACTCACTAGGGTGCCTGCCCAGACCAATGTCTCCCCCTAAATCCTATCATCCTTCCGGCTCTGCAATGGTCTTGTCGACCGAAAGGGCCTAACCCAACAAAACAAACAAACAAACAAACAAGAGGGATGATTATAGACATAGTGCAACCAATAGGAGTCGTATAGGTAGTTTCATAGACTACTGTATTATGCATATACTTATCGCATATACGTATTATGTTAATATATTCACATTCTACATATGACTGCTGTGCTGGTGCTAAAAAATTGTTGTGCGGCCGCTCGGCTATGTCAGTGTAGGCTGTGTTAGTGTCTGACACTCTGGTGTCAGTGGTGCAGCGGGGAGCTGGCGGCAGCTCTGTCCGACTGCAGTCCGCTGACACAGCTCTGTCCGACAGGGCCGGAGGTGATGGAGCCGAGGTGGCCGAAATGGTACAGGGATGATGATCTGTCAGTGTCGCTCCAGGGGGTGGCTGCCGACACCATCAGTCACCTGGCTGACCTGGGACGGACGGTCACACTACTGGAGATATACGGTGAGCAGCGGCAGCACGGACAGACCGCTGATATACGAGCTCAGCGAATGGCGGACACCGAGTAACGGTGTGCCGTTGTCGCACCTCATGGAGACAGGTGTGATACATAGCCAATGTGTTTTGCGATATAATGAAGCCAAATGAGCTCCTATGGAGGAGGACTGTTCAACCAATGACCTATTCGTTCAGAGTTTGTTAGGCATACACATAACGATTGTATTGGAATATTCAATACAATCGTTGTCTGAACCCATTGTACATAATATGCTTATACGCCTTGTCTGCTGTGTCCGTAAAACCATGCGAATTCATAGCTGTTTCGTTTTTTTCATATATCGACATGTATTCCAGTCGGCTGATCATGTCTGTATGTGTGTCTGTGTGTTTTCTAGACTGTCCTGATCTCATGGCCGGCAGCCTGGAGCCCCTCACCAGGTGCCCTAAGCTGGAGTGGCTCACCCTGTCCGGCGGCGTCCCTGACGCCGTGAGCCTGGAGCCCCTCACCAGGTGCCCTGAGCTGCGGTGGCTGTCAGTCACCCCCGCCGACCTCCCGCGACTGAGGGGGCAGCTGCCGGAGGGCCTCGTATTCCTCAATGTCAGAGGTGAGATACCGCAGATCACACATGTAATGACGGTATATGCAAATGGTCAGCGAAGACGGCATATGGACGAACTGATCAGCCTCAACTAGCAAGTCTCATCGTTAATCGTGTAGGTATATTACTCGTATTGTGGTGAGAAGGGGAAGGGGTTCAATGCACGCCCTTCGATAGTGTTCAACCTTGTGGCATATGCGTGGAATATTAGTGTAACGTCACGGGGTGATTTAAAAGTTGAGGTACTAGCGATAGTTGCATTGTCACAAGCAGCAAATTTCCGAACAAGCGTATTGAGTATTAATCGACGACTGACACTGACTGACTACATAGATAGCTCGCTGACGACGAGTCTGAGCACCCTGACGAGACTGACTGGCCCCGACTGGCCGCGGCCCTGGCGCGGCGGTTATACAGAGTATAGGTGGCGCCACGATCGAAGGCGGCCAGCACGGAAATGCAGGCATTGCTACAATTAGTGAGCACGTATTCCAATGAGGAATGATTATAGACATAGTGCAACCAATGAGAGTAGTATAAGTAGTTTCATAGACTATTGTATTACGCATATACTTATCGCATTTACTTATTATGTTCATATTCACATTCTACATATGACTGTTGGTGCTAAAAATTGCTGTGCGGCCGCTCGGCTGTGTCAGTGTAGGCTGTGTCAGTGTCTGACACTCCGGTGTCAGTGTTGCAGCGGGGAGCTGGCGGCAGCTCTGTCCGACTGCAGTCAGCTGACACAGCTCTGTCCGACAGGGCTGGAGGTGACGGAGCCGAGCTGGCCGGGACGGTACGGGAATGATGGTCTGTCAGTGTCGCTCCAGGGGGTGGCTGCCGCCGACACCATCAGTCACCTGGCTGACCTGGGACGTACGGTCACAGTACTGGATATATACGGTGAGCAGCGGCAGCACGGACAGACCGCTGATATACGAGCTCAGCGAATGGCGGACACCGAGTAACGGTGTGCCGTTGTCGGACCTCATGGAGACAGGTGTGATACATAGCCAATGTGCTTTGTGAAATAATGAAGCCAACTGAGCTCCTCCGAGCAGTGGCGGATCCAGGGGGGGGGGCAAAATGGGCATTTGCCCCCTCCCCCCAACGGCATGATTTTAACATTACGCCTATGGACGATGCATGGAAAGAATCGATAAATTTCTATGGTTTGCCCCCCCCCCAAAAAAAAAACTCTGAGCTGGATCCGCCTCTGCCTCTGAGGAGGACTGTACAATCAGTGACATATTCGCTCATAGTTAGTTGAGCATACCTACATATTGCGATTGAAATGCAGTGTTTGGTGCACTTCAATGCATTGGCTGAATTCAATGCATATCCATAGATAACATGAACATTCATGTTATCATGTTCATTCATTCATGTTATCACATTCATTCATGTTTATATGGCATATCATATAGAACCACTGTTACACCAAGGCTTACGGTGTCCATAAAACCATGCGAATTCATAGCTGTTTTGTTTTTTCCGTATATTTACATATATTCCTGCCGACTGATCCTGTCTGTATGTGTGTCTGTGTGTTTTCCAGACTGTCCTGATCTCACGGCCGGCAGCCTGGAGACCCTCACCAGGTGCCCTGAGCTGTGGGTTATCACCCTGTCCGGCGGCGTCCCTGACACCGTGAGCCTGGAGCCACTCACCAGGTGCCCTGAGCTGCGGGATCTCACCCTGTCCGGCGGCGTCCCTGACACCGTGCTGGACATTCTCAGCGGCTGCCCCGAGCTGCGGTGGCTTACACTGGGGGACCTCCAGCGGCCGGCAGAGACGGCCTTCACAGCAGCAGCGTACACCAGGTCAGTCAGCAGACACTGGCGAGGGGTGTCCTGTCAGACACTGACACTGACACAGTGACACACTGACACTGACACACTGACACTGACACACTGACGCTGACACAGTGACACTGACACACTGACACACCAACACTGACACACTGACACAGTGACACACTGACACTGACACACTGGTAGTGACGCACTGACACCAACACACCGACACTGACACCAACATATTAACTCTGACTCACTGACACTGATTCACTGACTGACACCGGTTCTGACACAATGACTGACACTCTGACACAGGCACATTGACATACTAACACTGACACTAACACACTGACACACTGACACTGACGCACTGACACTTGCACATTGATTTTGATGATTGACACACTGACACTGGCAAACTGACACTGACGCACTGACACTTGCACACTGACATTAACACACTGACACCGACACATTGAACTTGACGCATTGACACTGACACACTGACACTGACACACTGACACCGACACATTGACACCGACACATTGTCACTGACACCAACACACCGACACTGAACTACTGACACTGACACTGACTCGTATGTCCGGCCGGCTGGTGCCGCTGTGTTTGTGTGTGACGGCTCTGCTGCTCTGCTCTGTTACAGACTGGTCAAGTCGTGTCGGGAGCTGTGGGCTCTGTACCTTCACTGCACGGCAGACACCACCCGGGCCGTGCTGACCGCCCTGAAGGAGGCGGACCTGGGCCGGGACAGTAATGGCCGGCCCCGTACCATCAGTCTCTGGGTCCCCGGTAGGTGAGAGGGCGCCGCGCGCCGCGCCTCTGACCAGTCAGTCCCTCACAACAGACGCTGCACGGCGCCACCGGCCTCTCAGACACACACACTCGACCACCGCCGCAGGCCACGTCACGGACGGTGACGTGACGCGTCACGGCCACCACGGCCGACGGTGACGTCACGTCAGCCGTCTGACCTGTGTGTGACGTCACTGGCCGGCGGTGTGTGGACATGGCTGTACCGCTGTCTGTGTGTCTGTCTGTGTGTGACGTGTCCACCTCAGACGTGTCTCTGCTCTGTCCACAGGGGAGCTGTACCGTCAGCTGAGGAGCCAGGGAGGCGATGGGGTCGAAGTGGAGAAGTGGAAGGATTCGGAGGAGGATTCGGAGAAGGATTCGGAGGAGGATTCGGAGTAGGATTCGGAGAAGGATTCGGAGTAGGATTCGGAGGAGGATTCGGAGGAGAGTTGAGGACTCCAGCTGAAGAGCCGGCAAGGCGGTTGGGTCATAGTGTACTACTGGTGATGATTGATGCGCTGCACTACCAGTACCGACCGTGCATGCAGTGATGAGCTGACTGCAGAGAGGCCGAGCCAGTCGGCCGGGGCCGCCAGCTGACTGCTGCCGTGTGTGCTGCACCAGCCGGCACTGAGAGCGGCGCCGGTCAGCCGGCACACGGCCCCCGTGTCCGCTCTAGTGTAGTCATGTAGTTGTAGTAGTAGTAGTGTAGATGTAGTAATAGCACACGGATGTGATGTAGTGGGTAATTACCGGGTGGGTATTGTGGGTAATTGGACAGTGAAAAGTGATGTAGTGGGTAATTACCGGGTGGGTATTGTGGGTAACTGGACAGTGAGATGTGATGTAGTGGGTAATTGCCGGGTGGGTATTGTGGGTTATTGGACAGTGAAAAGTGATGTGCTGGAGAGACTACCGATCGTGGCATTACGCTATTCTGTATGTAGAACACACGTCTCTGACCGTCCGACTCGGTTCACCGCGCCTGGTCCCGGCGGCACGGCCGGCCTCGGTCACGTGACCGTCCCCCCGGTGGAGTCGGACGGCTCGGTCACGTGACCGCTCCCCCCGGGTCTGGCTGCACCTCGGCTCGGCGGTGCTGAGCGCCGTGCTGAGCGTGTTGTGACACGTCCCACACGGACAGCTCTACTCGACTACTGGCTAGCTGCCGTCCGAGCTGGCAGTATACACGCGGTGCCAGTTCAGACGGCGGCCGGCCGCGCCGCGCCCGCCCGCTCCGGTCCCGGCCGGCGGCCGTCACCCGGACCGGGGCGGGGACCATTGGTCAATCAGCTGACCATCGGTCAGTCAGCTGATTGGTCCGTCAGCTGATTGGTCTGTCAGCTGGTTGGTCCGTCAGCTGATTGGTCAGTCAGCTGATTGATCCGTCAGCTGATTGGTCAGTCAGCTGATTGGTCCGTCAGCTGGTTGATCCGGCAGCTGATTGGTCCGTCAGCTGATTGGTCCGTCAGCTGCCCCGCTCTCCACCGGCGGAGCGCGGCGCACGCCGAGACTCGAGACGTCAAACACAATGTCTATTATATACACGAGAGGAGACGCTTCAGCTGTACCATCTGTAGCCTAGGGCAATTAGTTACCGGGCGAGTATTTTGGGTAATTGGATGAAGTGATGCGATGTAGTGGGTAATTACCGGTCGGGTATTGTGGATAATGTAACCTTGGGTATGATGTAGCCGGCTATCCAACGCACAGTGTGGCCGAACACCAGTTTAGCGCGAATTTAATCCCAGCGCCGCTCGGATCCACTGAAAATGGTTCTCTGGTTCCAAAACTGACATTTACCCCTCGCCAGACCTATTGGTTTTCAAAATACCCCCCCCCCCTTTCACCAGCCGAAGGGGGGGGGGTACGACCCCCGTCGCTGTTTCGCCCCTGATGAAGCTAGAGCCTCGCCGAAAAAAACGAGCGTGTGTGCCGTTACGAGACGCAGCAACTGGTATCCGATTTTAAGGTCTCAGGTTAACCTGTGACCTCTGAGTTCAGGTTAAGTGGCCCAAGGCACGGATTCGTTTGAAAAAAATGCCGCAGAGCCGCAATTTTGGCATCATCGTGTTCGCCTCGCTCAGGTGCGTCGAATGGTATACTTTTTGTTCGGCTGAAGTCAACTTAAGGTGTTGACCTCGGGTCAAGGTCAGGTTAGAGCCCCCCAGATCACGAAGTTGGTCGAAGGAGGTCATGTTGCATATCATTCGATTCGGCAGGTCTTCCTGAGTCCATTGGTGGCTTTCCCGACTCGCTAGCTCAATTTGATCAGGAGTTATTGACGGAAAACTCTTATTACCCTAGTGACGTCATAAATGACGTCACGTAAGGCCAATAATGCAAAAGTGAAGCATCGGACCTTGCAAGGAGTGCATGAAATCACGATTCCGTGTTATTGAGATAGTTTATTAGGCTGGAGCCTGTCCGGCCGCGCCGCCCCCGACCTTGGTCAGGTCACGCCGGGCGGCCGACTAGACATGTTCAAAGCTGAGTTGACGGCAAATAGGCAAAAACTGGCAGCTGAAACTTGCTCGCTTATGTTCAGAAATGTGCGGAGAGTTCAGCCATGCCCTATTCGTCATATCCATTTTTATCCATTTTGACATTTTCCAACTTCTTTATTAAATACTATTGTGAGAACGATACACATGCAGGGCTCCTGTTCTAACTCATTAAACTCAGAAATCATTCATTGAAAAGCTACCATGATAGCAGAAACAGCTTCATCATGAATTGTGCTATCCGGTGATATGCTATTTTCTCATATATCTTCTCGAAGCTTCCGTAAAATTTACATTGAAAACTGGACATATTTCTCAGTACCATAGCCCGATTTCAGGAACCGGAGCGTGGGTCTACTTTCGGCAGGGATAAAAGTCCTCAAATGATAAAGTGGCTTAAAAATAAGGTTCTATCCGATAACTTCAGACAATTTCCTACCCACACTGAAAGAAAAACTACACCTGAAATTGGAATATTATTACGGTACACAAATCTCCACCCCTTTTAACTTCATTTTATGCCAGAGTAAAAGATGTTTGCATGGACAATTGGAGATTAATTCTGCCACCCGGTAGTAAGTAATATATCCTCGTAAGCTTAAAACTACACCCGTTGCGGAATAAAAGTACGGTACACAAATCTCCACCCCAAATCAATTCATTTTACACCCCTAGGTAAAGGGTGTAAAGGGGCGTTAGGAAGAATTAAGCATGTAATTTACGATGATAATTTTACGCCACAGTGCAATTTAAGCCAAAACAATTTCTACGCCTTGCGACATGGTGTAGAAATACCAGCGGGCTGCGAAGCTGAATGTGTAAAATTTAAGTCAAGATGTAAAAATAGCTCACGTTATAATCCGCATACAAAACAAAAGTAAACGATAATAATTGTATGTTCTTTTCCAGAGGGAGTAAAAATACGACTGGGTAAATATACATCGCCAGCCATAACTATCCCCCAGCGTGATTGTATCTACTGTCGTCTTCTGAGCACTTTCGATAAAGTCAACTATGGTGCATCTCTCCAACGTGTTGTTTATTTAAAATAACTTGAAACGACAGATCACAGGTTGCTACAGATTGGTTCCTCCCAACACTGACTTCCCTGAGGATATCACAAGCTGCACAAATCACATTTTATTCACAGCACAGTTCATCAGGTCACTAAGTCACGTTTCATCATGTACTTTAAAAACAACTGAGCATTTCTTCGTGTAACGAGTATCGACACCAAACGTACGGTCTCTGAAATCAAAGCACAGGTCCAGGTGTACGAACTAGGAAAGCACTGACAACAAAAACTCCGTTAAAAAAACTGACTGAGGCCTTCTCAACTCACATCATCTTCAGTGCCTATAGGTACTGAAGATGTTTCACGGCACGACACTACAGTGCGTTACGTGTATCGCGGTGCTGAGTTCCTATTGGAAACATCCACATACTCGAACGCTCTCAATGTTGGAGCGTCCAACATGTGGTTAATGTGTTTATGCATGTGAGCTTGTACTTTCTGTTAAATAGCACAATAAAAAGACTCCAATGAAAAAAAAAGTTTGTAGATGTTTCTATGGAAACTCAATACCGCGATACTAGTAGCGCACAGTAGTGCCGTGCCGTGAAACAGGGCCCTGCTCGGTCACCCGACCACTGCACTGGTGCCTCTGAATCGGCAACAGTGGATTATACGAAGGATGGCATTCTCGGCCGCACTGAGAGGAATCGCGAACTTCATAACCCGTGCATATAAGACCTCAAAAAGGATCATGCTGGGCCCTCTAAAAGGCAAATATAGCACAGCGTGCGCCGCAGCGAAGGCAGCCAGCATCTTCATCTCACTGCTTGGGAGACGATATTTCACATAGCTGACCAGGCACTGGGTTTCTGGGTGAACGGACACAGAGTTGCGTCCATCCTGCAGCTCCGAAATCGTCGTGCCGCCACCGATCACCAAGGTGGCCGCCAGGTCGTCATCTACCAAGATTGAAAGATAAAAAGAACTATTAACCACTGCAATCTTTAAGTTAAGAACGACTTTGTATGTCAGGCCGTCCATCCGTCCGTCCATCCGCCCATCGATGTAAATTGAAGGATGTAAAGAAATATTAAACACTGTAATCTTTAAGAAAATAGCAGTTTTGAATGTCGATCCTTAAGAATTGACAGATGAATCTATTAACCCGCGCACCGAAGGGGTTCTGAGCCAACTTAGAAGCGACGAGAGGGTGGATGACCGCCCCCCAAAGATCTCAAGAACTAAGTAACTTCGCGAGAAGCGGCAAACGACATTCGAAAGCTCGTAAGAAGGTCTATGAAAAAAGTACTTCGGTCATTTTTCGTTAGGGTTCAAAATGACGTCATCAGAGGTCATCGAAGGTCAAATTATGCGAGTAAACGTAAAAAGACCGACAACATTCAACAAACGACTCCGTAGCTCATGAACAGAAGAGCTAAAAAGTCGTATAAAAAAGGAATCTGATGGACATAAGAATGACTTGAAATTTATTCCATTGACTTATAATGGGCAGGTAAAAAATGACCTATTCGTAGGTCATCGATATGCAATTCTGAGATATACGAGTTGTAGGTGCTCATCACCAAAATTATTTCTGTGAGTTTCAAGATCTGCTTTCAACAACGAGATAGCAAACTTCGAAGATTGTGTTTCGAGGTGAGGTCACTTAACGTGGCCTGGTGGCTTGACTTTTTTAAGATATGAGCTAAAAATTTCCAGAGTGTGTAGGGGAGAGTGGGGCACATTCGTGCAAAAAATGGATAAACCCATATATCTGTTCTTTGGTTAGTGCAATGGCAAAATTGTTGATTGTAGTATGGAAAGGAACTATTGCAGATAGTTTTCCTCTTTAAAAGTTATCCTCTAAAATTATTGCTTCCATTAGAAAAAATGACTTTTAAGAACTCTGAACATTTGCACGAAACTGCCCCACCTATGGGGCACATTCGTTCAAGAGGTGGGGCACTTCCGTTCACCCTGCAAAGTTCGAGAAATTACCGGGCATTACCAGAAATTTACCAAAGGAAATTGGCAGGGGGTCATTTCACTTGATTCCTTTCGACAAGAATGCATTGCACAACATATGTAGAAAGAATGGGCTGGCCAACAAGAATGTGCCAACTGCCGGCCTCCGTGACCTC